GCCTCCACAATCTAATTTTGAAACACACAGATGGTTATTTGATTTATAGGAGCAGTAAAAACAATCTGAGTCCAGAAAGTAGATTTGCTTTCCTCTGAGACTCTTACATGCAGTTAAAGAAACAAGTAATTGAATTACATTTCAGAGATTTGGGCTTTACATCTACTGTTACACTTTTGTCCAAAGTTCTCTGCAAGGCTGCTACTGAGCAGATGCTTTTAGGTGTGGGACGAGAAAAGAAAAAAAATTTAAAAAAAAAATTTAAAAAATGAAAATAAAGAAAACAATACCCAAAGTGTAAAAGAAAAATTAAAACAGCTCAAGGCATATGTGCTGTGGCAGGGGGATTGGAATAAATGACCTCTTAAGGTTCCTTTCAACCCAAACTTTTCTATAATTCTATGATATTAAATCATATTTTGTAAATTAATTGACAAAGCAAGAAATCACTGTGTTCACGAAATGAGTTTTGCAGTTTTGTGCATTCAGTTTTGTCTTGGTATCTGAACCTCAGTGTAACTGAAAAGACTGAAATCCTGAAATAGTTTACCTGTTAGTCCTGTGTCAGCCCAATGGTTTCATTTATATTACATTTGATTTACAACATCAGATGATTGAATTTCCACTGGTTGAATACCCAGTATTGTTCTAAGACTCAAGGGAAACCATCCCAACCTGGAAAGTGGAGAGCAAGGAATAAATGGTTACAATTACCCAGCTCCGTGTCTATGTCATACTGTAATTTGTAATCTAAAGGCCCTGACAAGCCTTTACTAGCAAAAATTGCACAAAAGAACTTCATTATATGGTCAAAATACCATAAGTAGATATTCTAAGTAGAGYTTTTTCCACTCCAAATTTTATTCCCTGAAAAATACAGATTTGGGCTGCCTGGGACAATTCACAAATTGAGGGGAAAGTTCACAAAGGGGATGCAGTTTTCAGAGAACAAACAATGTTTTACAACTGCCTTGTCTGTATATCTTTAGCTGTCTTAGCACCAATGATTTAGAGCAAATTRTATTTTTGAAGGTATTATTTAGGGTCTTATTCCAAATAGGCATTGAAATATATGGTTCTGTGGGGAATMCAGCAACTATTTACCCACCTGTATTTCTGAGGACCTTATTACAGTAGCACATAAATGCTTGACATGCTTTGCTTAAAAGCTGCTTTCCAGCAGCAGTAGATGGCTGGTGATTTCTGTGAATTTTATGCCACTTATTACCATAGTATTTGACGYCCTCATGACTATTAATGAATTTTGCCTCTTAACATTACATTGAAATCAGCAAGTATCATTCTTCCTTTTTACAAACGGCGAACTGATGAGAAGCATAGATTAAATGACTTACGTGAAAGCCACAGGAACACTGTGCTGCTGCCAGGAATGAAATCAGGTGCCATGAATGCCAGTTCCATCAAGCTCCCCATATATTATACTTTGTGAGAGGTTTTTCCTAAAAATAATTGGAGATACCTTCCTCCTTATAGCATGCAGAGCAATTTTACACATGATGAGTGCATCTCTTAAATAGGAGGCACACTGATAAAAATTGAGAAATAGATGCTGTGAAATACTTTGCATGGACAGAAGASCTAGATTCATCTTTTAATGACAGCTCTTTACATGTTAGATATCTAGCCTAAGTTCGTTTTCTCAGCTTCAACTTCAACATTTCTATAGGGTGATTGATCTTACCTATCTTAGACACCATATGTAAGTCAGAATAAATTCCCTTCTTAAGATCCTACCTCTTCTCGTTCACTTGGCACCTTTTTTAGACTAGATTCTTACTTTTTGATGAACTAAAATTCCAGGAGGTGGCTCAAAGTCTAAGCTATTTGGATACCTAAACCTWGGTCTTAGAAATAACATAGGCCTAGTGAGTTAGGATCAGAATTATTGGAACCTCAAGCAGCTATTGTGAGTCGCCTAATTTCAGGTGCCGTAATCTAGGAAGTTGTCTGATCTCTCATTATTGTTAAAAAAAACAGGGCATTTGAGGGCTCAGTTCTTATGCTGATGTACGAATCTAAAGGAACAAAGATTAATTGCATCCTATCTCTCCTGTTAATTATAAAAGAAGTTTACACAACCAGTACAACTATAGGCATCATCACTGTAGAAATCCAAACTAAATTAAAGGAATTCTACTTTAGATCTCCAATTAAGAGGCAAAGTGGGTGTTGTGTGCTGTGATATCCTTAAATATCTCCTCCAGACATGTGACCAAAAACACATCATGGGCTCCAAAGGCATTTCAGGGCTCTTGAAAATKGACTTGCTTGATGCATGTTGATAACATTCACTCCTGTGATACAAATGGCTGTGGCATATATGAAAAAATGTCTCTAATACATATGATCTKTCACTATAGGCAAATAGTTAATTAATAATTCATGATAAGTGTTCTGGTCCTTTACAAGTTTTCTATAAGTGCACCCTTAATGTGAAGCGAGTCATTTGGTCTCAGGCCACTGAATAAAGAATATAAATCTACATATGTTGTGTTGTGTTATGGCAGCAAACGTGTAGGTGTTCTKCTGCGGTGTATTTCAGTTGGTTGCTGGGTTTTAATTGAGAAAGAAAAATAAATTGGAAAATTACATAAATGTATCTGGATTTTGAAGGTAGAAAACAGACTGGTAGCTAGATCTCAAGATGTGCAAATGCATTTAGTAGGACCTTTTCTGGATCATTTTTCTGGCTGTTATAGTTTGAAAATCACTGGTGAGGGTGCCATACGGATTTTGCATGAGTCCTGTGATGAACCAGTATAAAATGTAAAATATGTGGGACAGAAAATGGTGTTGTTGGCCACCTTGCCAGTAGGTAAACTGGACATTTTCATTCTGTCTCTTTCCCTAACAAGATAATTTTTGGGAAAAAAAAAAAAAAAAAAAAAAAAATGAGAGGAATCTCTCCATGCCCTTTTAGACTAAGTTTATGGCTGGAAAGTGTATTCTTTTTTTTCTGCTGAGAATTTTTAATGTAAATGCTGACAGAATCTCAGCTACAGTGTCACTGGTGTTTTCCTTCATAATGAGAAGCTGCTAACAGTCCCACATTCAGCTCAAAGTTCCCTCTTTAAAGGGTAAGACAATCACCATCCTCACCTTCAGGTTCACTCTGTACCCTGAGGAAAAATTAGGATGCCAGAGAGTTTTGCAGCTATGGTTACCTATATTTCTCTAAAGGCCAGCAGAATGACTCAGAGCACTCAACACGTAGTTAGTGGAAGAATCACAAATTTTGCTGAAAATTGAGAGCATCCAACATTAAATATTTATGTCATTACTCTGGGTTTCAGCATAATAATAACACAGGAAAACACGGGTTGACTTCTTGAGCCCCCACATTCCAGGTGAGTTTGCAGTCAAGTGTTGCACATTCTCAAAATAMTATTATTTTCCAAGCAAGATTCTTATGTCAGGATTTTGGGCTGTCGTTCATGCACTGAATTATATTTTTAAGTCTTTTTCTCCTTCTAGATTTTGCTTTTGTTTTGAGAGGTTGTTTGGATTTTTTTGTAAAGTAACAAAGTTATTTTAAATTTGGGTTGGGTTTTTTTTTATGTGATGCAAACTTTTGTGTCTATATGTTATRGTCTTTTAAGAACTCTAATATTACTTTAAGAAGACAGTGTAGCAAGGAGTGTTGTGGCAACATTTGCAGAAGAATCTGCTGAAATGTAACTAGAAGATGTGAAATGCAGTCTTCTTTGTAATTTAAAATTCATCTTTGTATGCTATGTTTATGAGATATTCGTCCTACAGCTTCCATTTTCCTTGAAGGATTTCTTTGGAGAAGGATGTGGGTTGGAGAAAGAATTCTTTGTTCGTTATCCTCCCAAAAAAGGGAGCAAGATTTTCATGAGCAGTTACGGGATAAAATCTTCTGAAGCACTAAATACTGTTTTGAGTGCTATAACATAAAGCTCAGTTTTGTTTCTTTAGCACACCATAAAGTCTGCTCACAGAGAAAATTCATACCTACTCCCTTCCTCTTTGGCCTTTTGGATTTGCCCATTTTCTCTGGGGCTGTTAGGAYCAAATGCTTTCATTTACTTCCTTCCACAATAGACCAGATTTATGGGTGAATTGAAAGCCCTGGTTTGTGGTGGTTATGCAGCCACTGGTGTGGAACTGCACCAACACAGAACCCTCRAGTGGGTGTGATTTACACGTACACAGCATGATTTGCATGAGCTCTGCTTATCTGTGGCTGAAAGCAGAGTAAATTAGACATGGGAAAGTTACTGCAGCAACATCAGTCATTTTAGAGCAGGCATTTTTGTCAGTGAGCATACACAGGGCRTGTTATTTAATATTGCTCTGTGTCAGTGTCTCCATCATTAAAATTAAGGTGTTTCCGTGGCCTTTYAGGCTATCAGGATGGAATTAAATGAAAAGTGAAAAAACCTAAGAAAATTTCATGGAGACCCAGGGAAAGAAATATACTTAGCATTGAAATAAATGTATATCAGAGAATTATTCTGCTGACCAGTTTAATGGTCAGCTTACTTTTAAAATAAAGTTGACTAGATAAATTTTTACAGGCCTTAAGGTGTAAAACGTTGCACTGTACTTCTAGTTGCAGATCTCTCAAGGGGGCTTTTTGTGTGTTCTTTTCCATCCGTGTACAGCATTTATTAGTTATCTGTTGGACTATTTTGATGATSTTTACAATAATTTTTATAGCAACACAAGTGTACTTGATCTTACTTACAGAAAAGTATGTTTTCTTGATTTTAATATCCCACAAAATCTTCAGGTGGTGAAAATGGCTGTGAGCCAGAAAACGATGCAATGTGATGTGACTTGGAGCAGAGTGGCACCCCTAAAACACTGCAGTTTTAGACTTTGGACAAATAACCTGAATTTAGCATGTGAGACATTAGAACAATTGACTGGATTATGTGGGATAGAGTCACACTCCAATTCTGGGGTTTTTTCGTGTGTTACTAGGAGTTTAACACCAGTCTGTTGTGTTGTAGTACAACCGCTACCAGCGCTATGGAGCCGAGGAATGCGTGCTGCAGATGGGAGGAGTGCTGTGTCCAACTCCTGGCTGTGGAGCAGGGCTGCTTCCKGAGCCTGGGCTGAGGAGAATTGTGTGTGAACCAGGCAATGGAATAGGCTGTGGGGTAAGAAAACTCYTTTTCCTTCCAGTTGTGTCAGACATAATTGATTTTGTATGGCAAACACTAAGATAAAGGGTTGGCTTTTGTGCCCTTCCCATCAGTGGCTCTGAATTGCCCTTCATACCAGAGTGGGATACTGCAGCTCAATAAACAGTTTAAATATAGCACTATGGCTTAGGAATGATGACTTCATCACATAGAATGTCCATTCCATAATTCTTTGCTTTATTTGGTTTAAGAAGTTGCTGAGTAGTTACAGTAAGAAATTGAACTGTGCAAATGAAAATCCAAATGCACTCTGACTTTGCTCTCCTAGCATTCAGCAAAAATGAAAAGGGTCTTGAGTAAACCATTCATTATGGTATTACTTTTTTTTTTTTACAGAGAAAGGAGAAATAGAATAGCCTGTTTGTGACACTGCAGTGACATTGCTAGTGCATGTTAAAATACATGATGAAAAGAAACATAGAAATATTTTTGTTTACTTGTAAAAATTGCATTTAAGCAAGGGGAATGAACAATTAATAGTGAATCTATGGACATCAAAATCAGATGAAACTKGAAAATGTTTTTGCTAAGAGATCAGATCGTATGGACTATCGACTTTTTTGTCAGTAGGAAAAGCAAGCACTTTACAAGAATCAAGCTTTGGGGGAAATAGATGTACACAGAGACAAATCTATATATAAAGGAACCTATTAAATGTTTGGTCAGGATGACTAGCTGGTATTTGCACTGTGTGACTCTCCATGGTTAGCATTATGGCAGAATTCCACAAAGACTATGAGACAAGATAAAATATCTGTATTTGTAAAATACTATGATGCTTCTTCTGCTGCCTTTCTTTTAGAAAATACAGTTTTAATGTTGCCCAAACTGATGCCATGGAARAATAATAGTTTGCTGAACTAGGAAGTCACAGTAACTTGTCTTCTTTGAGTAGGTTAGCATCTGTTGACCTTGGTAAAACTTCCTATCTGTCCATGCAGTGGTGCATTGAAAACAGAGCACTGCCCAAATTCACTGAGCAGACATGGGGCTATAAAATACAGCAGAATCTAGGAAAATAATAAGAAACACGACTAAATAAACAAAATGGAATGCCCTTGGATTAACTCTTAGGGATCGGTTAAGAAAGATAAAATCACAAATAATTTTGATTCAGCTCTCTGCCTTGAAGTGGTGAAAATCATACTGTATTTTACAGCTTCATTCATCGTCATTGTGAATCTACAAATGCCCTGTTAATAAAGTGTACATAGTGTAAAGGATTGATATATTGCCTGGTTTAGCAAACTGCTCTGCTTCCTTCTAAGGACTCTGCTGTGCTTGGTAGYGATCACATCTGCAGCTTTGAATGGAACCGCACCCTTTGTTTTGAATTATGTGATGTCTTGAACATTATGGGGTACAAATCACTGGGGCTGAAATGMGAAGCAGGAGGCTGGCCTGTAAGCCAAATTTGGGTGATATTAAGGCTCTTCCTCAGAATCAATAATGGAACAGAGTGAAAATATATGCCTTTGAATATTTCTTTGTACCCTAACAAATGATAACCTGAAGGAGGATTTGTCACAGACTTGCTGCRGTGAGGGTCCTAGCACTGGAGTCCACTGCTGCTGATAAAGCCTGGCTGAAGGTAAAGATCTGCCTGCAAGGACACCCAGACAGTTAGGAAAGCCATTTGTTTTTACTTTATTTTATGCTGTCATTTTCAGTGTTTTTTATTCTTAAATTATGATGTGGTTTTTCCCAGACAAAAGCTGATCTTTTTTAGTGTGAAGGCCTTCCAGTARTTTTTATGGAATCTAGGAAGATCCATTTCAGAGCTCAGCATTTCCTCTTGAGTGTGTGCATGATTTACAAGCTCAGAGAAAGGCCCAAGATGAAGGAAGTCCCTATTATCAATCCAAATAAAGGCTGCAAAAGATGTCTTGCAATACTAAATCTTTATAAATTTGATTGGAAATACATTCCTTGTTGAAGCTAGTAAGGAAAGAAATAAGGAAAGTAGTGTGAATCTGGAGATTCTTTATGAATATCCACATAATTCTTTAGTCTCTATTCTGGTTATGTAGAGTCTCCTTTGAGGTATTTGAACCTCTTTCTTTAGTTAAARTTCATATTGGTAGCAGCAGAAATTACACCCAACATCAGTGCTCTGTTATTCATACAAAAGCCCTTGCAAAGGAATAGTTGCTTATTGAACAGAACAAATTCATGGCTCAGGTCTGAACTGGTGTGTCAGGGCAGCTAACAACTGTCAAGTAGATGAGGATTTTGATTAGCTGAAGAGATGACTCGGGAGGGAGATCGGAGAGGTTGCCAAGAGAAAGTCAARTGGCTGAGAAGGGGATTCAGCAGCCATTTTGGAAAAGTGGAGGCTAAAGGAACCAAAAAGAGAATAAGCTGGCCACSAGGGACTGAAGCAAAACAAATATTCCAGTACTTGGAGAAATAACTGTGGTAGGCAGTCCCAAATATGTATGGACTGTGAMCAAAACTGAAGGAATATTGAAAAATGAACAGGTGTCTGAGCYAGGCTACGTTGCAGACATTTTGGCTTCCTGAGTTTCTTACTCTGTTATGTGGAATGAGAAASTGGAATCTCACTTTGCAGAGTAACTGCCATCAGTATCAAAGGGAAGTGTAAATCTCTAGGAGTGTGCTCATAATTTGTAAAAAGGTCTTTGAGAAAGTTAAAAGATGRGTTTTGCTTTGTCTCAGAAAATTTGGAAACCGCAACATGTAGGGCCTAGAAACCTAGGTCTGGTAAACAGTCTGGTAAATGCCTATACAGGACTGTACCAAAAAGATGAGGAAAGAAGTTTAAATTTAAGCTTCCCCATGTGTACCTTCTGCAGTCAGGCACTGCTATCTATTCMGGCTTTTAGGCAAAAAAGCAAGACAAAATGTTTATTTTGCTTTTAATGATTATGGATAGTCCTCACCTAAAGCCATGTTGTGGTACCACTGACTGACCCCACTGATGCCCAATCTTTCATATTTTTTATTATTAGCTATAAACTTATTAATTGATTTACAAAGATATGACCATTATACACTATTCTACCTTCATTACTATGCATCAGACCTGTGTTACTAACTTCTATTGCTCAGCTATAAAATCCTGACATATTTAATACTAGAAAACAGCAACAAAACATAGAAGATAGTACATATTGTACCAGCTGGCCCGGGTACAGGAAAAGCTGTGGTAAACAAGACATACAGAAGCTTTATGAATAAAACATKTTTGTCTTGTTTTGTATTACACTGGCATATTATTTACTACACATTAAAGCAGCTTGGAGTTAAAAACAGGTCAGGATGCATCTTCAAAAGGGACTGTACTAYTTGTTTGTCGAGAAGCATGCCTTGGTTTCTGCACAGGCAGCTCAATTGCCTTGTGAAACRTTCCTTGTCAGTGTCTTTCAGTGGGATGACAAATGACTGATGTGTAGCTGCATCCCAGATCATGCTCCACAATGGTTTGTTCTGTAGCAGCAATGGTAAATGTTCTGCAGTGTGCAATATCACTTGACCTATCCCTTGGACCTCAAAGGGTGAGAGGGGAGATTGAGGATAGTGGAGTCAGACCTCTGCTGGTCTTTTCTCCTTGAGTTTATTCATTCCTAGCAGGGCATATATAACCATGAAGAACACATTTCCAGAGATTGTCTGTTGTTTGAAAATCCCTTATTAGGAGGCCTGACTTGAGGATCCATGGAGGTCCTAAGGCCACTCTAAAATGTACTAAGGTCTGGGTGAAAATTTATAATTTTGTGCCTTAGGAATAAACTGTAATATTTGATGTTTTTGTTGTTCATCTTTTACATCCCCTATTGTGAAACTCCAATCTGCAAGTGTGTAGTCAAGCATAATGCATTAAGTGCATTGATAAAGTAAATTTTAAGTCTTGCAAGGGGAGCACAAAATTAGGGGTTATTTCATCTCTTTTACACCATATTTACTGTTTCATAAACATATTGTCTTGAAGAACATCCAAAGATGTGTTCCCATCTAGCACAGGTGAAATTTTAAGGCTGCCGACTACAAGAGGTCCCTGAACAAATCAATAGATATAAATACCATGTCTTCCTTATAAACAGAATTCCTAGGCTGTTGTATTACATAAAACAAAATCCCTAAGGCAATTTTACTCTGCCCAGCAATTTTTTCTCATTGATTTCTTCTTGCATTCTTCTTCCATGGCTAAGGAAGCATATGTCAAAAGCAATTGTACCATATTTGTAGGATTAATAATTGTCTGCCTTTTCAGAAAGCTTAATAGAATAGAGTACACTTAAAATAGTTACATGAGAAGGGCAATACATATTCCTGTTGGTTGCAGAGTTAGGRGTTTTTGTGATTCATCATCTTGTGTTCATGCATTTCCTAGCAGACAGATTTCATCTTCAGTAATGCCTTTGTTAAGCCCTGTAATACACATGTAGGCAAACCTCACACAATTGGGGAAAAACTTCTGGTTTAAGAATTCCAAGCACTGAGTTCCTATCCATTTAATTCTGATAATTCAAATGATAATTTTGTTAGTTGTATATGTCCTTCTAAACTTCTGAAGCAGGGTTGTTTAATTTAGGCTTTTATATGTCAGTTGAAGTTTTACATGAATGCACCTATACTTCCTACGGAATCTGAACCAGCTTGCAAATACTGTTCCATATATGTGAAAGTGCATAAGAGTTTTGAAGTAAAAAAACAAGAAAGACTGTTGTGGGTTGAYCCTGGCCGRATGCCAGGTRCCCRAAGTCTCCCTATCACTCCCTTTCCCTCTGGGACAGGGGAGAGAGTAAGATGGCGAAAAGYCAGCAGGGTGAGATAAAGTAGTTTTATAACAGCAAAGATAGAAAAAAGAAATAAGTGAAGACTTGCATGTGCAAAAGCTAAAGGAAAAAAAAATTAATTAATCTCTACTTCCCATTAGCAGCRTTGTTTAGGCACTTCCCGGGAAGCAGGGCTTCAGCACGCATAGTGGTTGC